CCCCCCCACTGAAGGAGCTTTCTCAAATCCCAAGCTTGCCACAGCCTCCTGGTCTGTCCTTGGGTGTGGTCCTGACCCCCTTGAATTCAGCTTGTGTGCCAGTGGCTGGTGGCTCCTCTAGAGGTGTCTCCCCGGCTGGCTTATTTTGGCCTGGCCTTTGCAGCACTCTGTAATTGGTCCCCAGACAGTTTCTCGTTACTGCCCTGCCTGCACACACCCTCCGTCCCAGTCTCCTGGGCACCTCCACACACCCCCATTCTTTGTGCCTTGGTGCCCTTACCTGGCTCTTAGTGAGAGCTGGTCCCTGAAGCCATCTGCTTAAGTAACTGCTGACTTTTTCCACATATGCCTTGCCAAAGATCAAAAGATGCCAAATTGTTGCTATGGCATGGTGGAGTTATGTATGGTTTTATATTTGAGTTTTATAGAAAGAACATTACAACTAACAAAGTACATTGTTATGATTCAGTTGTAAAGTTTTTAAAGTGATACCAATTTTATTACTTTATAATCTCACCAAAAGTATTCATCTTGATCTCCTATCACTGCTGGTTTGCTGTCACTGAGAATTGCCAGGAGTGACACTATTGAGTGTAGAGCCTGCCTTTGAAGAGCATAGCTCATTTGAGTGAACAATGAATTGTTGATTATTGCCCAGAAAGTCACACTACTTTTTAAGTAATACCTTATTTAGCATGCACCAGTCGATTCTGTCTTGTGTATAGTGTAACTTAGGACTCCCTAGGTAGACTAACCTCTGCACACAAGGACCATGTCTTATGTATTTCTTTGTTGGCTCCCTAGTGCTTCGAGAAATGCCAGCCAGTATTAAAACAAATAAAGGGCAGTTTTGTGTCTCCCATTTTCTCTGGAATTTCTTTCCCTTTTTTGTCAAACATATAATGTAGACGTGATTTGGACTTTGCACAGTTCCAAATGGTATCACTGCCATGATGGGTGCGAAGGCCATACAAGTAGAGTGACATCACCCCTTCTCTTCTCCCTGTAGAAGCTGAGCGTTGTGGAGCAGGAGAAGATTGACAAGCTGATGCTGGAGATGGACGGGACAGAGAACAAGTGTGAGTGGTCTGAGGTGGAAGCCTTGCCAGGGAGCTTGTGGTGTCTCCTGAAGACTTTTTAATCCTTTGGGGAGGTTGTGTAGTCCCCAACAGTGAGCCTCATGAATGTCTATCGTCTCCTAATTTCCTTGCTTCGCCTTAAATCACGGTTTTAAATGTCGGGAGCGTAGCCAGGTGACAGCAGCGTGTCTGAGGGTTACTCAGAAGAGAGCAGTCCTTTATACTAAGTCAAGCAGTTTGTGGAATTTGCCAGAGTTCCACACACCACAGAAAGGGCTTTCTTTAGAGGAAAAAGCAGGTGGGTCCACATGGAATGCCATTTGCATTTCTAGCTTGAACGTGGGAAGTAAATAAGATGAGAAGGAAAGAGCCAGGGTACAATCCAAGGGAATACTCAGGCGGGAAGGCCAGCAGGAGGAAGGTTAATGAGTTAGAAACACCTCAATTTAACTCTGTTCTGTTCTAGCTAAGTTTGGTGCGAATGCCATTCTGGGAGTGTCCCTGGCAGTCTGCAAGGCTGGGGCTGTTGAGAAGGGGGTGCCCCTGTACCGCCACATTGCTGACCTGGCTGGCAATACCGAGGTCATCCTGCCAGTTCCGGTAAGTAGCTTCGTTAGGGGTTGGGAGCATTAGTTTTCTTGTGGGGACCAGAGACCACCCACATCTTGAACCCATCCACCTGTGACTCCCTACTTGGTGGATGTGCGAAGGCTCTGGAGGTCTCAGGTGGGTGACTCAATTTCCCTGCCCTCAAGCCCTTTATGGATGATGCGGGGATGAAAATCGTACTTGCTGGGCTGTGTGCATTCACTGAGAGAGTAGCTGGTGCTTAGAAGGCTGAGCGCCTCTGGTGGTGGTGGTTGCAGTTACCAAGGGTGCCCAGGGAGCATTCACAGCCAGACGTGGCCGTGCAGTTGGACGTTGGGTGGCTTGCCATTTGGTGGGCTTCTCTGGGCTGATCTATGCTTCTCTCTGTCTCTGCCCAGGCTTTCAACGTCATCAACGGTGGTTCTCACGCCGGCAACAAGCTGGCCATGCAGGAGTTCATGATCCTCCCTGTTGGTGCCGCCAACTTCAGGGAAGCCATGCGCATTGGAGCAGAGGTTTACCACAACCTGAAGAATGTCATCAAGGACAAGTATGGGAAAGATGCCACCAACGTGGGGGACGAAGGTGGCTTTGCCCCTAACATCCTGGAGAATAAAGAAGGTGAGGCTCTAGAGGGACTGGTCCCCGAGTTCTGCCATGCTGTCCCTTCATCCCCCCACCCCACCCCGTGAACGGGTCTTCCACACCTGCCACCAGAGAGCCAATGCTCTTTCCACCTTTCATTCAGCAAGTGTCAAAGTGCAAAACTGCAGTTTGGGGAGGCATGTGGGAGCTTGCACTTCATTTTTTTAAAAAATAGCAGGAATTTCCTTATTGAACTTCTGAATGGCCTGATGGTTTGCTCATATTGGGTTGGTGGGGTATAGAGGAAGTTTATTTCTTTTGCTCCATCTGGCTATGGCAAGGGTTTGAAAACTGCTCTGTGTTTGAGGAGATGCTGTCTGCTCAGGACTGTGATCACTATAGATCTTTCGGCCACTGGGATGCTCACACAAGCTGTTTTGCTGTGAATCCTTAGGCACAGATTTCAGTGTGAGAATTGAGTAGAGGTTACAGAAAGCAAACAAGGTTGGGGATTTTTGCTGTAGAACAGGAGCCACATGTGTTTGTCAGTTTCCCTATGGACAGCACTGCCAAGTGAGGCAGAGCCTGAGCCTGGGCTCTGGAGACAGGACTCCTGTCCTGGGCTCCCCTCCACCGGGCTCCCTCTTGGCTCCCAGCTCTGCTCTATTTAAAGCCCTGGTCCTCGGGACAGCTGATCTCAGCTGGTCACTGTAACTGTGTCTTGGCCAGCACAGTGTTCCTGGGTGCTAAGTCTGGGAGCATGTGTCACCGAGAGCCTTTTTCTTAGAGTTAGGATTGAATTTCCCCGCACTAAGGGTGCTGACCAATGGTTTCTTGCCCCATAGCAGAAAAACGGAACTGGAATTTTTGAAACTGATGATTGGGGCCAGAGCGCCTCTTGGTCTTTGTTAGAGTTTTCATTTGGCAGCTATTAAAGAAAAGCTTTATCTCTTCCTGACTGGTTGCCAAACTTGTTGCTGGCTATTTCTTTGCAGCCCTGGAGCTGCTAAAGCATGCCATTGGGAAAGCCGGCTACACCGATAAGGTGGTCATTGGCATGGACGTAGCTGCTTCTGAGTTCTTCAAGTCTGGAAAGTATGACCTGGATTTCAAGTCACCCGATGACCCCCGCAGGTACATCACCCATGATGAGCTGGCCAACCTGTACAAGTCCTTCATCAAGGACTACCCAGGTGAGTGCTTTCGGGGCACCGTCTGTCCTCTCCAGCCACTGTCACGCAGCAGGGCAGCCGCAGCACTCAGCCTGGTGGTGATGGCGCTGGTGTGAGAGCGGGTGGGTGGCTGCAGCGCAGCGTCCCTGCCGGGCTTTTTCCAGTTCAGATGCACACAGAGAGCAGAGGGCTTCACAGGAGAGGAGTCAGGCGGTTCCGCTGTGCTAGCAGTGACACTGTAACAGTTGTTTACACAGTGGGGCTGCTTTCTGTTACTGTCCCAGCAAATGCAGTCTTGGCTTTTGTCATACAGGTGAGGAGAGCGAGCTTTGTTAGGCTGACTGAGCTGGTGCTTCTGCAGGCCCTGTGCTCACTTCATGCACATTGGATAGGTAGGGACTCTTAATACCACTTTATAAGAGAGGAACAGAGGCACAGAGCAGTCAGTAAGTTGCCCAAGGGCAATCAGCAAATGGTGGAACGATTTCAGACAGAAGGCTGTTGCTAAACCCCTGTGTGTAACCACAGAGCTAATTAACTTGCTCAAGGTAGAACCAAGATGCAAACCACCCTGGGCAGGTAAGGACCCCTCAGTTACTAATCGCGGGTCCCAGGATTGTGGATGATTTGTGTGCCCTGTCACAGGAGTAGGTTAGGGGTGCAGGGTGTTTCAAAGACATGAGCTGGGGAACTGTTCCTGTGCTCTGTAGGTGAGAGGTACGAGGCCAGGTGAGCTGCAAGTCAGGAGGGAAATGAGACTGGGGTTGCTGTTGAGCAGGCTGGGAGGCTCACACTGATGAGGCATGGCTCTCCTCTCCTCAGTGGTGTCTATCGAAGACCCCTTCGACCAGGATGACTGGGAAGCGTGGCGCCAGTTCACAGCTAGTGCAGGAATCCAGGTGGTGGGCGATGACCTCACAGTGACCAACCCGAAGCGGATTGCCAAGGCCGTGAGCGAGAAATCGTGCAACTGCCTCCTGCTCAAAGTGAACCAGATCGGCTCTGTGACGGAGTCTATCCAGGCGTAAGTGCCCTTGGGGAGCATTCTCACTGAGCGAGGGGCCGTGGATCTGAATAAGAGCCCTCCTGCTTGGAGCTGGAACGGGGCTTCACATTGGAACTCTGGGTGGCTTATAAAGTAAGCCATGGCATCAAGCGGACTAGGGCATTCGGCAGTTGTGGCCCAATCTTGACCGCTTTGTGGCCCTAGGCTTGTAATTTAATTTCACACAGAGAACATCAGAGGGAGTCTTGCTTCCTTTATGAAGGCTGAACACAGTTTTTAAAATGTGGCTAAGGGCTGATGAGGTCCCAGGGTCCTGTGGGTGCAGAGAAGTGATAGGTTCATCATCTTCCCTGGGCTGGCTACTTCTGGGCCTTGACACCCCTCCAGTCTCCTACCAGGGATGGTGAGTCGTCATCAGGAGGGCCAGAGGGGTTCATGTGGAAATGCAGTTGGTGGCATCTGGATTGTTTCCTGGTTTCTAGGTGCAAGCTGGCCCAGTCCAGTGGGTGGGGCGTTATGGTGTCTCATCGCTCCGGGGAGACCGAAGATACCTTCATCGCCGACCTGGTGGTGGGGCTCTGCACTGGACAGGTATGAGCTCCCTGGAATGAAAGCTGGTCCTTATTTCTTCCTCTGACCTCAACTTCCAGAATGGGGGAGTTGGGGGCAAATGAGGTCTTAGATTCCCTTTTTTTTTTTTTTGTGGGTGCCCCTTTGAACCCCTTCTTCCTGGGGTCAGAGATCCTCATTAAGAAATTGTTCTCTCTCTTGCCATGATGCACTCCCCTTGCCCAAAATGCCTCCCAAGAGTCCATGTCCACTGTAAGTAAATGTGACTTTTCTTCTCCCAGATCAAGACTGGTGCACCTTGCCGATCTGAGCGTTTGGCCAAGTACAACCAGATCCTCAGGTAAAGAGGATGCCTGCACTGAGTGTGTGGGCACTGCCGTCTGCTAGGCGCTCCTGGCTCTGTGGAGCGAGCGTAGGTCAAGGGGCCTGAGCAGTGTTAGGCTGGAGCAGAGATGGGTGTGGAACCTAAGGTGCCTCTTGACATGGCCCCAAAGCGGGAGCCTGGTCCATACAATGCTGCCATCTGCTGGTGGGAGAGGGAACAGGCTCCGCGTTGAACAATCAAAAGTATAAAGGCCTTAATGATTATCTAATTTAGCACCCCTGTTCTGTGGATAAGAAATCATTGGGGCTCAGAGAGATGAAGAAAATTGCCAAAGGGCAAACAGCAGGGTTTTGCCTTGGGATGTTCTGGTCCCCCACTTTTTGTCTTGGTTGTGTCCTCTGTGTATGTTTCGGAGGCTGCCAAACCCAGGGAGATTCCTCCCACCCCCACCCCCTGCTTTTTTTGTTATTTTTTTCAGTCTTTCAGGGAAAAATAACATTTTATAAGTCCTCCCACCTCACTTTAAAACTATCCTGGAAAATTTTAAGCATAAAAGAAACAGTGAACAGTTAAATGTACGCCCTCTCCCCATCACCCAGACTCAGCAGCTGCCACTGTGCTTCCATACTTGTCTCTTTACACCCTATTTGTGCTTTTAAAGCAAATCCAAGCATTTTAGGATTTCACCTGTACGTACTTTAGTATGTATACCTTCCAGATAAGGATATTTTTAAGATAACCACTTTATCACTAGTGCCCCAAGTTAGTAAGTCTGTAATGTCAATGCCAAGTCTGTCATCTCTTCAATCTCCCCAGGATCCCGTGTTCACACTAAGTTCCCCTCCTTTTTCTCCCATGCTGCCTATTTGTTAAAGAAACTGGATTTTCCTCTCATTTAAAAAAGTTTTTATATTCAAAAAATAGCAGTAATGACATTTCTTCTATTTTGTCCTTCAGAAACATTGAGGGGGGTGGAGAGGAGGAGATGAGACGGGGCTGCAGGTGGACGACAACCTGCTGGGTGGATTGGGTGGGAGAGAGCAGAATGCTCTTCTATTCCGGCATCTCAGAGATGCTCAATTTTAGAGGATTCGAGAGAGAGTTGTACAGACCAGGCGGTACGGGGGTCTGAGCTTCTGGGTGGGAGAATGTACTACGTTGAGATTTGACTTCTGTTTTTCCCTCCCCCTCCTCTATCCTGCTTCCCAAGAATTGAAGAGGAACTGGGCAGCAAGGCCAAGTTTGCCGGCAGGAACTTCAGAAACCCCCTAGCCAACTAAGCTCTGGGCAGACGAGCCCGAGCTCCGCAGTCACTAATCGGCTAATTAGACCTCTGTCCCTGGCGTCTGAACGGGCAGCTCAAGGTCCCCAGCCAATACTTGCAGGGGCCTCTGGTAGTTAACTGCCCTCTCCCCTCCCTGCGGTGGTCTCTCTGCCTCCTTAGAACTGCTACAAAAGCCAAACTTGACCATCTGGAACCCTGGTGGAAACCCTAGCCCTGTAGTCATGTGATTGGCCCAAATCATTGTTTTTCTCACCTCGCTTCTCAAGTGTCTGGAGCCAAGTGTATCTACATTGTAATCTCCGAGGTGTCCACAGGCAAGATCCCCAGTGGTTCTGTGTGCAAAATAAAAAGGCTTCAGTGTCCTGTAGGAGTACTCTGTGTCTGTGCGCACGTGCTTATAGGACAGAGTCTCTGTCCTTGTGTCTTGGGTGTTCATGGGGCATCGCCATAGGCCTGCAAGAGAGGCCTATGAGAAAAGGATTGAGGAGTTCGTTGACATTTGCTTAAGTCCTTGGAAGGGCAGTTTAGGTAAGAGAGGAGTGCCGTGTCCAACAGAAATTGGGTCAGCTGGGAGGCAGAGTATGGCTTCAGGTTTGTGTGTCTTATAGAGAAAATACAAATGCAGAGCTATTACAGATTATCAGGGGCAGCGGCATCTAGGTCATGTGACCATATTGTCTCACCACAGGGACTGACCTCATTTCAAGTGCTCAAAAGTTATGCATAGCTGATGCCCACAGTGTTGGGTAGGGGTGATGCAGACATTAACATTGCAGAAAGCTGGCCTGGAGTAAAGGGGTAACACGTTTATTGTAAAGAGAGACGCAAAATGGTGTGCTTGCTATCTGCCCCTTGAAGTTTAGTGTTTTATTAGCATTTTTACTTTTCTTCCCCTAAAATAATTTGACCAAAGTCTATTGGGTTATATTTTAATGTTCGGTCAGGACGAGGAGGCCCCCTGGTGGACGTTCTTATTCATTGCTTACCTATCAGGATTTAAGCCAAGAGGAGCCACTGGGTGTAGATACATGTATTAAGAGATTTATCACAAGGAATCTGCTTCCATGATTGTGGGGTTTGGCTGAGCAAATCCGAAATCCATAGGGCAATCAATCAGAAGGGAGGTGACCAGGACAGCTCCAGGGCACAGGTGAAGTGCCATTTCACAGGTAGAATTTCTTTGGAGGAAACCTCAAGCCCCAGGCCCGCACAGATCACCTAGGATAATTCCTATTTAAAGTCAGCTGATTAGTGGCTTCAGTTAGAATGTGAAACAGCTTCACAGTAATACCTAGTGTCTGAATAACGACTCCGTTGAGACGTCACAAAGCCATCACAGTCCAGCCCTTGTCGATGCTGCACCCATACACGTCTTAAACCATAATCTCCAAACTGACAGTAACAAACCCCTGCTTCCACCTCACGTGGTGTAACTCGTACATACAACCCAAACCACTAACCCTTTCCAGATAGAAACCAGGTTTAGTGACTGGTTTCTATCTGAAAATTGATTCTGGAAGGAAGTGAATTGTCGAACTGGGACTGACCGTCTTACTAGTGTTTATCCCAATTTGAAGGCAGCAAGTTGGCATTAGTACTTTTAAGTTTGGTTTAATGTCAACATTTTCCGACACTGGTTTTTAAAACTGACTAGAAGGTAAAGGCATTTATCATTCTTGGGTTCAAGAGCAAGTATTGGTAGGGCCGTTTCAGATATGCTCCTTGAAGGAAGGCTGGGAGCTGGAGCTTGACAGGTAAGGACTGTTGACAACTTCTGACCCAGCAGAAATGAAGCACAGTCCTTACATTGATTGGCAGAAGAATTACAGACCAAGGGCCTTTCCTGGGGGCCCTATCTGAAGCAGCAGGGGCAACGTCGAATCCAAATTTCCAGGAAGCCGTATTTGGGCTCTAAGATGGCCTGGGGGTATTAGACATATCTCTGCATCACATGAGTTTACAGGAACTTTGTTTTTATTTTATTATTTATTTTTTAAAAATATATCTTTATTGATTTTAGAGAGAGGAAAGGAGAGGGGGGGAGAGAGAGATAGAAACATCAATGATGAGAGAGTCATTGATCAAGCCCGCAACCCGGACATGTGCCCTGACCGGGAATCGAACCCCGATCGCCTGGATCCTAGGTCGACGCTCAACTGCTGAGCCTCGCCCGGCCGTGCAGAACTGTTTTTAAAGTAAACATTTTGTTAGCACATGTTCACAGTCTCTGGACTTGCTTTTTTTTTTTTTAATTGACTTTTAGAAAAAGAAACATTGATTTGTTGTTCCATTTGCCCGTGCATTCATTGGTTGATTCTTGTATGTGCTCTGACTGGGCATTGAACCCGAAACCTTGACATATTAGGATGACCTGCTAACCAACCGAAATACCCTGCCACGGCAGATACGCATGTTTTGTGGAAAATATTTTGGAGTATGAAGTTTAAAAAAAGAAAACAAGGCAAGTCCAGCCCTGACTGGGTAGCTTCCAAATTACTGCACCTCTGCCATTCAAACCAAAGCCAATTGAAAATGCGAGGCGGTGAGGTTCCCTAACCTCACCATCACCTGGGGAGCTTCCGCAGCCCCAGTGACCGGACCGAGTGCCTCAGTCTCGGTGGTACAAATAAAGCACCAGCAATTGTTGAAGTTCCCCAGCCGGCTCCCATGTGCAGCCGGGCTTGAGAGCCAGTGGTGCAGAGTAATGAGCTGCGGGGCTGCTGGTGACCAGGCAGAGCTCCGGTGCCAGGCTTTCCCTGGAAACCCTCAGCCCTGGTACTTTTTTAAATGAAAGCAGCTGAGGCTGGAAGATGGCAGCTGAATGCCATCAACACAGTCCGCAGAGCTGGGCCATGCTGGGGGAGGGGGCTCGTCAGGAGCCTGCTTCCTGGCTCTGAATTCCGTGCTGGGGCCTGTAGGTGAAGCCAAGTCTGCTCCTCAAGTAACGGAGATGCCAAGCCCGGGTTTCCCTGCCACCCCAGCGGCAGCCACAGAGCGCGCAGGGTGGCTGAGGGCACGGGTGGAACCAGATGACAGGGGCTTGGATCCTGCCCCTTCTGCTGAACAGCGCCTCCGTTTGCCCGTCTGTAAAATGGAGCTAACAGGAGAGCACAGCCCCGGGTTATTGCAGAGTGAGTACTGCTCACGTCGGCTTAGGCTCCCACTTGGAATAATGTGAATCCAACCATCAGGCACTGATACACTTACCAGGTACAGGGTGCAGGGAGTGGGGAGGGAGGTCTTCAGAGCGTATAAACGCCTGTGGTCGTGATTAAACGGAGAAGAGAGTGGAGTGGAATGTTTGCAGCAACCCAGGGAGAAGCACAGGACCCACTGGACCAATCTGTTGAACCACGTTGTTGGAGCGTCATCTACATGCAGCAACAGGCACACAGTGTACAGTTTGATGTGTTTTCACAAAGACACCTGAGCAACGGGCACCAGAGTCACGCCATAGAACATTCCCAGCACCCCCAAGAGTTCCTGAGCCCCTTTCCAGTCAATCACCACCCCCAACGGCCAGACCCAGTGTTTTTAAAAAATTTGAATTGTCAAAATCTAAAACAGATTTCTTGTAAAAGTTACAATTTCTGGGTTATAATGGGTTGGGAAATTGACAACACTGGGCTTGCATTCCTAGAAGGCAACACTAGGCTATTCACTGCTGGTGGCAGCTGTGGTCCCACCTGCCGGCTGCCCGGACAGATGTGGCCAGTTCTAAGCTTTTTAACCTGCAGCTCCTGGTCCACGTCTCTTCTGCAAGCTCTCTTCCAAATTCGTTCCTTTTCTGTACAAATCCTCTCTCCCAGAGGGTTCTGTGAGTTCAGGTACTCCAGGGTTTCTCTGCCATTGACAACTGATGTCTCAGTGCCTTAGGGTAGCAAGGACTCCCCAGACACAACCTTGAACTCTGCGGCTCATCTAAGACCCAGAAATGGGGCAGACAGGCACAACCTTCATCTAATTACGCTCCTCAGTTCTGAATGGGAGGCCCCCTGGCCAGTGGCACCCCGGCTTCTTCCTGCCCATCCTGCCGCAAAGTGTGAAGGCCTCGTAATCAGGCTGCGTGCTGCCCACTGGGACTGGGAATGATCGCAGACTCATCCGAGTACGTGACCTAAGACAGTAATTAAGCCCAGCGCCCCAGGGGTAAGAAGTAAGCACGTTAATTCAGGAGCAATTAAAACCCTCCAACATCACTCACACAGCCACCACTTCTGAGACTGGCTCTCACTGCCAACCGTCACCTTCCTGCTCCCTCTTTCGGCCACCAGACTGCGGCCATGACTGCACATTTTTGAGGGGGGCATTAGTGGGCCCAAGTAGGGGCAGCTTCCCTGACTCTCAGACTGCTCTAGGGCCCCTGATCCTGTTGTGGAGAAGTTACTGTGCAAGACATGCCCTAGTCTTTTTTTAAAAAAAAATTGTGGCAAAATATACATAGCAAAATTTACCATTTTAACCATTTTCAAGTGTACCATTCGGTGGCATTAAGTACATCCAAGGTCTCATATAACCATGACATTAACTATTTCCAGAACTTTATTATCCCAAACCGAAACTCTACACCCATTAGGCCGCAACTCCCCATTTCCCGCTTTCCCTAACCTCTGGTCACTTTTACTGTTTGTGAGTTTGCCTACTCTAGGTATTTTAAATGAAGATCTTGTACAATATTTATCTTTTTTTTGATCTGGCTTATTTTACTTAGCATACTGTTTTCAAGGTTTATACTGTGTCAATACTTAATTCCTTAATATGGCTGAGTAATATTCCATTTCGTGGATGTACCACGTTTGTTTACTCATTCGTCTATTGATAGACGCTGGACTGTTTCTACCTTGCGGCTATTATGAATAATACTTTTAGGAACATTATCCCAAACCTGGCTAGAACAGGAAAAACTCCAAATCAGTGTGACACCTGGCCGTGCGTTGGAGTCCCTGCCTTCAGTCCTTCTGGATGTATATGCACTTAGCGGTAAAATTGCTGGGTCACACCGCAATTCTACGTTTCACTTTTTAGGGAACCACCAAACTGTTTTCACGTGACTGCGCTCTCCTACACTCTTACCCGCAGTGTGTAAAGCTGGCAGTTTCTCCGCATTCTCATGACACTTGCTGTTTTCCATTTTTTTATGGTGGCCATGGCAGTAGGTATGAAGTGGTGTCTCGCGCTGGTGTTGATCTGCGTTTCCTGCATGACCAATGAGGTGGGGTCCCTTCGTGCGCTTATGGGCTGTTTATCTTTGATGAAATGTCAAGTCCTTTGGCCGTTTTTTAAGCCGGGCTGTGTGTCTTGCCGTTGAGTTATCGAGTTCTTTTTTGGTGGTGGTGGGCCACTTATTTGTACTCATTGGTTGCTTCTTGTATG